TTTTTTTTTTTTTTTTTTTTTAAAGCAGCCTATATTTCATCAGATAGAACAATATATCCTCCAAATGTTCCTCTCTGTGGTATGCTTAGAGGTGTTCCCCTTTTTGTTTTATTAATAAAACCTGCGCTTTGTCAAGCAAACCAGAATTTGAAAAAACAAAAAACAACAAACCCATGACAGGAAAAACATGAGCATCGACTGCAGTGCTCTCCTCGCATGCAACCCTCCCCCAAAGCTACCTCCTCCTTTATGCTTTTAATTAAAATATCTCCACAGATCAGCACAGAGAAAAGATATGCATGTGAGCCAAAAATTAACTCCCGAAGCAAAGAGCCCAGCAGTTCCAACATGCAATAAAAACCATTCACCTACGTTCAACTGCCAATGATTTTTCCAGCTAGTAAAACCAGGCTCCCATCCAGTACACACCCACCTCCACCAGTAAATCCCTCAGTTCTTAAAACCAGTTTCCCTTGAACCCTCTCTCAGTCCTTCTGGGGGGAAAAATAGAACAAGAAGTCCTGCACCAATTAAACATACATTAGAGCAGGCTGTGACACGGGTTATTAATAGTGTATCCTCCAGACTTCACTACAGGCTGCATTTAGATTAGGATCCCTCATTATCTGGCCTCTCCCTTACCAAGTGCATGCTACCGAACCCCTCCCTTCGGGAGCCCCTTTGGAGGAAGGCAGCTCGCCCGGTGGAGGGGCACACTGCAGTATCCTGCAGTAAGTGCTGCATTACACTGCTATCGTGCTACTTTCAATGGTTCCAAACCATCACTGCTAAAATACTGTCCGGCTTTTATTTTATTTTTACCAAGATAGGCAAGCAAACACCTCCCAAGCTTAAAAAAAAACCCAAGAACACAACACACTTGGCTGCTAGGGGTAAACTGAACAACTCCTCACTTGAAGGGCATGTCACAAGAAGGATCCCGAGGGACTGTTTGTAAAGGGGCACAGCTCCAGGAACCTGGGCACTTTGCATTTCAATATGGACTCAGGAAGAGGCAATTATCATTTTTACAAGCCTAACCGACATGCAAATGGCAGAACAGGGTAAAGGGCAGTTTCGTCCTTGAAAACTGATCAACTTTTTATCCACAGATCCAGACCCTTAAACTGCACCCGTCAGCCTAGCCTGGCATGTGAATGGCATTGCTGTTCCTCCCAGCCCCACCCCAGGGCTCCCAAACCCATTAATGTGGGTCTCTTCCACTACACCTGCCTGGTCATTTATTCTGTTAGGAACCTGCCAGGCTCCAACACTGAAAAGAGAGGGAAAAGCAAAAAGAAAAGAAAACAATGGGTTTAGAGGAATCCACTTGCCCAAAGATCAGGGCATGCACATTTGAACATCCACCGAAAAGGGAGGTCCTGTCTGGGAAGCAACTCAGGAACTAAATGTCATCAGGTGAACAATGGATAAATGGGAAATTAAAAATTTGCTGTTGACACCAATGCACATCCAAGAAAGTAAGCCAGGATCTCTGCAAGGAGGGGAGCTTTGGGTGGGGTGAGAAGGGAATGCAACCACCTTTCAATGCAGTGGGGTTTTATGGTGCAATCGCACGGTGGCTGTCAAGTCCAGGCAGGCAGGCAGGGTGCCTAGCAGGTGGCCTGGGCACCTGATCCCCCCGCACCTCCTCTTACCTTCATGTCGCTGATGATGGTCTGGAAGAGCCCTCCGAGCGCGCTGCACTCCTTCTCTATCACAGCCTCCATTTTCCCGGCTCCAGCACACGCAAACTGCTGCAATTTCACCACCAGGCTAGAAAAGAGTCCCCCCCACCCCCGGTCCCCCACCTCGCACTAAAATCTCATCTAAAAAAAATTAAAATTAAAAGTAAAAAAGCCAACCTACAGGCAG